GCAACGCCTATATTCAACCGGCTGCTTGAAGAATCCCCTGACTGAGAAGCTTGGGACTTGACTCGAACAGGCCCAAGCGGCCAGGGGGGTCAAAGGTAAGAACCGTACCTTGGGTTTCAAGCTGAGGGGTGGCACCACCCCCAGCCGCATTGGAGCCGGATGTAACAGCAAGCACCCGGCTAGAGGGAACCTCAGGCTCCCCAGTCCTGGCCTCAGCCAGCCTTGAGCTCAAGCCCAAATCTCGCAGACTTTTGCCTGCAGACGTAGGCCTCTCAGGAGCCGGCTGTCTTCCAGCAGAGGTAGAGGCAGGAGCAGGCGGGACCCTCCGCCTTTGTGAAGCCGGCTGGGAGAGTTCCTCTCCCGGTCTCTTCATCATCTGCCTCAAGGAACGAGGAACGTTGAACGTTCTGGCTCCCTGTCTGCAAAAGAAAACAAAGCAACCGGTTAGTATCAGGATGGGTTGCAAGGCATACAGACGGTAAAAAGATCAGCCGGTGCTTACCGGCCCCATCGCCTTTGGCCGCCAGTTGGGCCTTCTTTTTCTCAAGCTGCTCCTTCCGGATTTCGGCGGCTGACTTAGCCGGTGTTTTTTCGGGAGGAGTCATCTCGAGTCCTTTCTCTGCAAATATAAAGAAAATTGTTAGAGATCATTCAAACACCATACAGGCGGCATAAGCGGCCGGTTAAGCAATAAACCTACGTTTGCTCCAAAAAGTGCTAAGACTGCAGGCGGAAAGGAACGCCTCGTCCTTGAACCAGTCCAAATGAGGGACCCAGAACTTAGGGACAATAACTTGTGTCCCATCATCCAGTGGCAGGGTTGTCTTCTTAAAAAGGCCCGGCTCCATTATCTGATCCCAAGACTTCTCTGGTATCTTGGGGAGGGCGCATTTCTTTCCCAATAGAGCCGGGTTGTTATTGTAACGGTGCAGCCGGTGGTTCGCAGCCGCAGAAGGGGAAGAGACCATATAGAATTTTCTCTTCCAGCTGGTCCATTTAGATGGCTTCTCCAAAGTTATCATGTACTCCGGATGGGTGGTCAATGTGTACCACGCATTCCAGCTGCCTGGGGCACGGCTAAGATAGTGCATGTGCGCAAACGCCTCCCAGCTAGGCGTCACGTCCTGCATTTCATAGGTGGCTATGTACCCCAAAATGTTCACCCAAGAGTTGGGTGTGAGCTGCCAAACGCCAAGGTCGTAACCCCTTAGAATGGCTTTGATTGTGTTGTGGAGGGGGAACCGGAGGCCGGGTTTGAATGCCGCCTCATAGCAGCTGAAGTAATTATCGGCGTGATCCATTTCAAAATTCTTATTTCTTAAGCTGACACGTGTTAGCCCCAGAAAGGCCCAGCAGGATCCAATCGGATGCTGACACGTGGCATTGTAACCTTAATAGGGGAGCAGATCTTCATCTGCTATAATAGAGGAAACTCCTCATTTATTGGGGATTCAGAAAACACTCATAAATACAAACACAAAAAATCGAGCAATATTAATTGCAGAATTCTCTCTGAATTAGAGAGAAAACCCATTTACTTTCCGCACTTTTATACATCCGGAGACGTTCTAACTTGATCGTCGGAGGCGGAACTCCACCCAACCGGAGTTTCGTGGTTTTGCAGGTACAGACGATCGGCGCCCATTCCCAGAATTGTAACTCTCCCGAGGGACTTCAAAAACCCTGGAACAATAATTAACAAGTACGGAGTACTACAACAAGAAGTAATACAGAGTATGTAATAGAATTATACGTACAAGTAAAGTTTGTAATTGTTATATCAGCAGGGCCGAGTTAAAAAAAAAAGGAATCTATTGGGTTTTAGACTTTTAGCTAACTTTTATTGGTGTTCAGCAAAAGATAATGATAATTAAGCAATTGCTGTATTAAGCGTGTTCAATTAGAAATTATTATATACACTCGGGGTCATTTGCTCATTTAATCAACAAATAAGTAAATAATATTTTTTCTCATTTGTTGATTGAATGAACAAATAATTCCGGGTGTACGGTACAGCCGGGTATAATAATAGGCTCTCGTGTTCATTGACCTCAAATGTATCCAAGACTCCAAGAGGATTAAGTGTTGTATTACGTGTGTTAAATTTTCTTCTAACGGTCCCAACTAAAAACTTTATCAAGTGAGTTAAATCTTACTTAGTTCTTACATTATATTACACAAGTTAAGAGGTACAGTACCATATAAGAAATTAGAATGGAAGAAAAAAAATTAATTAACGCCCGCCATCAACCTAGAATCACCAAAAAAAAAAAAAAAAAAATAAATAAATAAAAATAAAAGCCAACCATGTGTATTAGGAGTTGTGAAACTAATAATAATGCAGATAAAAAATTTACTAAAACCATGAGAAAGAAAGAAGAACAAAAAAAACCACAAATGAGCAAATTTAGAAGGAGTTTATATGGAAGAAATGGAGCAGTTATTATAGAGTAGTTATGATAGGTAATTTTTTTTTTATAAATTATTCTTAATTTTTAATTGTAGATAAGAGAGGTAATTTTGCAAATTAAGAAGGGCATTTTAGGAAAAAAAAACAAATTTATCACCCAAAAAGCCCTTTCTCTTTATATAGTACAGAATACTATAGTTATGTTAAATAATAAAAAAAAAACCCTATCCACCCCACTATTATATTACTTCGCAATATGTACGTACGGAGTATATTCTATTTCATTTACTCATTCAATAATAAAAAAAAAAAAACCCTATCCACCCCACTATTATATTACTCCGTATTACGTACATTTATTCTATTTCATTTACTCATTCAATAAAATACTCCGTAACAATTACTCCATCCGTCCCTTGTTGATAGTCCCTTTTGACTAAATTTTAATCCCAAAATGTTCACCCCATTTGCATTTTCTAACAACCATTAATATTAATTTTTTACAAAATTCCCTCTAATTTGCAACAATATGTGTGCAAATTTAACTTTTCCATGTAAATTTTGTTTTTCCATGTACTTTTATTACTTTCTCTCTCTACATTTTTGCATAACCAATGCAAATTTATCTTTTCAATGTACTTTTACTACTTATTTATATTCATTAATTCCCGTGAAAATTGTCCATAAGGAATTATCAAATTATCATCAAGGGATGTACGGAGTAGTATATAACCAAAAAAAACAAGATCAAAAAAGAATTAAAAACCTTGTGACATAATAAGTGTCAAAACAAACTAATCAAAAAAGGAGAGCCTTTTATCTTACTACTAGTTTAGGTTCCGTGCCATGCACGGTAATTTTTGGTGTGGTATTGTTAAAATGTTATTTTTCTTGTTAACTAAATGAAATTTTTTAAAGTTATGTACTAACTTTGCGAATAAATTTCCTTTGTATACACTATTAAAATCACTCTATTATTTCAACCAAAACTGTACAACCTAAAATAATATCATTACATATTATTTCGACAACATATTATTTCTTATTCAACTTTTCTCCTGATATGAACTCTAATTAATATATTTTAAATTTTATTTTGGTAATATTTTATATAATAATTAATAGTTATCAATCAATAAATTATATTGTTATTGATTGATGTTCTTAAGCAAATATTGGTCATCAAGGTAATTCACTTAACAAAAATAAGTACTATACTAAGAATCTTATGTTGATAATCTACTACGTATATGAGATTTTTCCCAAAGAAGTTATTGTATTTTATTCTTTCTATAATTAAAGATCTAGCTAAATAATAATTATTTTTACAATTAAGGTTATTTACATTTTAGTCAATTTTTTTACATCATTAAAATTTACTTAGAAGAATATTTTCTCTATGGAAATAAAAAAAAAATAAAAAAATATATTTAAGGACACACCAGACGATGACACGTGTCATTGCTGGTGTGTCTTTTAGTATATAGTTATTATATATATAGTTATAGTTATTATTATTATATTGATTTCAGCAACTAGTTTGTACTCCCTCCGTCCTTTTATAAGAGTCCACTATTCCTTTTTTGGCAAATCAAAACTAAAGTCCCATTGTTAGAATAATCTTTCCCTTTTTAGTAAGTGGTTTTTTTACAATTTTAACCTCATTCTCCTAATTTAATCCCCAAATTATCCTCAATTTTTATTGATTTTTTGTGCCAAATATTTTTGGTATTTATTAATCCACCAACATATGTTCTCTCTCCTCATTCTTATTCTTCTTTCTAGATACTTCTTCTTCTTTTTGGTATTTATTAACCTCTTTTTTCTTTTTTCTCTCGTTATTTAATGCACTTAATATACTTAGGTATTTCCAGTCACATGGTTTAAGGAATCTACAAAAACCTTAATTCCCGTGAAAAATGAGAAATGAGACTCTAATAAAAGGACGGAGGGAGTACTAGACATCTTCATTATTAACCTCTACTAATTGATATCCAACATTTGTATATACTCATACTACTATACCTACCTATAAGCCACTAACACAATCATTAATTCTACTAGACTCCTTCCGTTTTATAATAATTGACACATTTTAACTTTTTTCTTTTTTAAAATATATATTCACATTTTAACTTTTTCTTTTTTAAAATAGGAAGCTAAACAATAATCAAAATAACCACGACCTTGGATACTCGAGAGGACGAGAGCTAGTTTTGAGACAGAAAAGTGTATAAATCTATTTGAGACAGAAAGAGTATGTTATTTAGAAAACACATTACAAGTTACAACAGATTCCGATTCTTATAATTGTATTTCTGGGCTTACCCAGGTCGCGATAAGTACGTAGATAAATGGATTATTATAACACTTTTTTCACAAGATGCATTGATGGTCAATTACATTGATTCAAGTTGAACAACTTGAGCTCCAGTTGGATATAAAGAAAAGGAGTTGACATCGTCATTAATAATTCTTTATGTTTTCAACATTCAATTTCATGCCACTTACCTTATGATGGATATAATATTCGTCTTGCTTCTGTTCCAAAATATCTATATAAGTAAACACAGTCCAGCATTTTTTTGTGGGTCTTTTTCTAGTCTGCTGTTTCTAAGTGAACTTGTTTCTTTACCTTAATATCCTCATCCACGGATCAGATAGTGTTTTCTGCACCGTTAAATACACTTGTTTTTGTGTTTTTATTATACTCATTTTCAGTTTCTTCTCAAGGCTTGAGATTAAACTTTAAACTTCCTCCCTTACGTACACTTCCTAACTTAGTCATCTATAATCGTTTAATACGGTTAAACAAAGGAAAAATCGTGTGAATGGCTGACCCGGTCACACTCCTAGCAATCCCCATAGTTGAAAAAATCACAAAGGAGACCTACAAATTTGGCAAGGGAAAGTATAATGATGTTTATGGAGTGAAATATGAGATTGAAAAGCTGCAAAGCAACTTAAAATCCATAGCAGCCGTGCTTGCGGATGCTGAACGCTGCTCTAAAAAACCAAAGCAGCTAATAGATTGGCTCACCAAGCTTAGAGGTGCAGCTCTCGACGTGGAGAATGTACTGGAAACATATGCTACTGAGGCTGCTTTGAGAGAGATGAAGAACCACCCTGCCCCAATTGCTTGGCTAAGCTCTCGATTAAATGCAGCAAATGACATTAAGAAGATCGCGAGAAGTATAGATGAAATTGACAAACAAAGGGGAAAATATCATATAAAAAAAGATGAGTGGGGGGAAGGGAGCGCAGAGCCAGCCACTTGGTTGGGAATGCGTGAAAGAGATAATAGACGGGAAAGCGGGGTTGTTGGCCGGGATAAGGAGAAGGAAGAGATCGTTACATGGTTGATTTCTGAAAATTCATCTCATGATAATGGCCGTGTCCCCGTTTATCCCATTACTGGAATGGGAGGCCTTGGGAAAACAACTCTTGCTCAGCTCGCTTACAATGATGAGAGGGTCTTCAAAAAGAAACTCGAGTCGAGCTATTTCAAGAATGCAGCGTGGGTAAACGTCTCTGTGGATTTCAGTGTGGATAGGATTCTTAAGGAGATAATTGAAAGACTCACGGAAATGGAACACGGAAGTGTTTCTCAAGAATCCATTAAGTCTAATATCCTCAAAGTCCTCGACGGAAAGCCTTTCTTGCTTGTACTGGATGATGTATGGATTTCTGAGAAAACGGACTGGGAAGGCCTTCATACTTTCCTCAGGTCGTGTCCAAGAGGAAGCAAAGTTTTGGTTACGAGCAGAAGTCACGATGTTAGAGCACTTATGGGTGCAACCCGTTCATGTTCTTTGGAAGTGTTGCCTGAAGAGCTTTGCTGGGACTTATTTACCAAAGAGCTCTGTCTAGGTGACAATATTTTAGAAGAAGAAAAGATAAAGATTGGTAAAGATATCATCAAAAAATGCAACCAACTTCCACTGCCAGTGAAGGCTATGGCTGCCATAATGCGCGAGAAATCGCTTGAGTATTGGAGGAGGGTATCAAAAAACAGCATCTGGATTCAAGATGAGTCCAATGAGGAATTTGGACGTTCAAACATTCTGCCAGCCCTGGTGTTGAGTTATAATCATCTCCCTTCTTCTATCCTAAAGCAGTGTTTTGCATACTGTTCTATATTCCCAAAGAACCATTTGTTTGACAAACATGAACTTGTCAAATTGTGGATGGCTGAAGGTTACATTCCGCATCCGTCCAGTCGATCAACAGACACACTGGAGGATATTGGAGGTGATTATTTTGACGAGCTGCAAAGTAGATCCTTCTTTCAGCTTTTTGTAGACAATGAGAGGTACAGGATGCACGATCTTATACTTGAATTAGCACAGCATGTCTCAGATAAATCCTCAAAGCAAATGGAAGAGGAGACAACTATTGGCGAACAGAATAGTTACCTTCATGTATCATTTCTCTGTGAAGATGTTCAGAAACCTGCTCTTGAGATTCTCAAAGCTGAGAAACTACGAACTCTACTGCTGCCCTCCAGCTATACCAGTGATTTTGGTCAATCCCTCAACAAAATGTTTCAAACTCTCAAGTACATGCGGGTTCTAGATCTCAGTTCAACCAAATTAGTTCATCTGCCAAAATCAATTAAGAAGTTGAAATTGCTGCATTTCCTTGACCTATCAAGAACTGAGCTTAAATTTCTTCCAAAAAGTATCTGCAAGCTCCTTAATCTGCAAATACTAAAACTCCTTGGTTGTCTTTGGCTTCAGGAATTGCCCAAGGATCTTGGGAACCTGAAAGATCTCCGATATCTGGAACTGGATGAGATGTTTTGGTACAAATGCTCCAGATTGCCTCCAAGTTTAGGAGGCTTGACTAATTTGCACAATCTCCACTGTTTCCATGTTCATCGTGATAGTGGATACGGAATCCAAGAGTTGAAGAGAATGAAAAGTCTTCAAGGTATGCTACACATTTCTAAACTCGAAAATGCAGAAAATTCTAAGGAAGCAAAATTGAATCAAAAGCAAGGCATAACTAAATTAATACTTGAATGGAGCAAGGAGGATGCCAGCAGTCCACAAGATCGATCAGCACAAGAGCGTGTCCTTGAGGATCTTGAACCTAATTCTGGTCTCCAAGAACTTCAGATACTGCACTACAAAGGAAACAGATTACCAACTTGGATGAGCAATGGAGTGCTCCAGAACTTGAACAAGATTTCCTTGAAGAATTGTGCAAATTGCAAAACACTATCTTTTGGTCCGTTACCTCACCTTCAACAGCTTATCATCAAAGGAATGTTAGAGTTGGAAGAATGGCCAGAAACTACACCATATCTTTCATTACGAAGGCTGACTATTAGCAACTGCCCAAAGTTGCGGAACCTCCCATGCAAAAGCTTCATAACCCTCCAGGTTATGAAAATCAAGCAATGTCATGCTCTCAAGGCTCTCCCAGTGACACCGTATTTGATGTTTTTGACTCTTATTGACAATGATTTGCTAGAGGATTGGAGTGAAATACTCATGGGGATCGTTGTTGACAGTAGTCATGAGGGTGCTGATAAGCTTACACAACTAGATTCATTAGAGAATCAATTGGAAAACAACAATACCTTGCAAATGCCTAAGTTACTGATTCTTACAAAGAAGATAGGAGGCCTAGAAGCTGATGGCAGTTATATAGCAGGTTCATATATTCTACTCCTGGAATTGAATTTAGTGAATTGTCCAAGGCTACAGAAATTGCCAGAAAGCTTTGCCCCTCAGAAGTTGAAGATAAGCAGGTGTCCTTTACTAACAACACTACCGGTTCCACAGCAAAGCCAACGACTTCAGAATCTGGAGCTAGATAAATGCAATGGTACGAGATTGATAGAAGCAATACAAAGTTCAAACTCATTGGCCGCGCTGACAATTTCCAATATTTCTAACATGGCCTCAATACCCAAATTGCCTCATCTTCCAACCCTGCGCACTTTGCACATCCACAACTGCCAAAATCTTGAGTCCTTGTCACATGAAGATGGTTCGCTGAAAAACTTCACCTCCTTGAAGTTTCTGTCAGTTTCAGGATGTGAAAACCTGGTGACATTTCCTGAACAAGGGCTTCCGGCATCAATTGACTGCTTGATCATCAACAACTGTAATGAGTTGCAATCTTTTCATGCCACAAGTCGAAACTATCTAAAAAGCCTCACACTCCTCAAGGATCTATACCTCGAGGATTGCCCCAAACTTGAATTCTTGCCAGAAGACGGGCTTCCTGCCTCTCTCCAGCACTTGCGCATTCGAGGCTGCCCCCTACTCACAGAACAATGCAACGAGGACGCAGGAGGAAGGTATTGCCAAATGGTTAGTCATGTTGCTGATTTGGAGCTCGATTCTGCCAACACTAGTCATTCAACAGCTTCTGCTTGCTTTACATGCAAATAGAGCTTTGCTGCAACTTCACCAAGCCAAACTTTCAAATTTAATAAGTGCACTGTGCACCTCCTACTTCTGTTGTTTGAAGACATAATCACCATGATTAGGTGTAATTGTACAGGTGTGTCATTTCTTTTCATTTGAAGGATTGTTTGGCTTCACAAAGAAAGTCAATGTGATCATCTATCATTTGCATGTAATATATTTATTTTAGGGTTGTGTAATAGTGTGAAATTGTAATTGATCACGGACAATCAATTAATTTCAAATTGTGTATTAAGAAGTATATGATTTTTGAAGTAACAGTTTTACCCCCAACTTATAGCATAAAAAAGACAAATTTAACCTATTTCTTCGTGGATCCCCTACTATGGTTTTAATTACTTCGTATATATTTATTTGTATTTGTTGTAAGGGGAAAGACCCTAATGAACCAGAATATGTCACAAGTCAATTAGTTCATCTACACGTACAAGTTAACATTTCAGAATAGAGGAAGAAGTTAGAGGATAACCCTACTCCCAAGTAGGGATGTCAGTGAGACGGGTCAAATAGGAGAACCGCTCCATCCCCGCCCCGTTGGGGCGGGGATGGATCTTGGTTTGGCGGGTGATGGGGCAGGGATGGGGATAAAAACCATACCCGCCATAGGTGATGGGGCGGGGGTGGATTTTAGGTTGTACCCGTCCGCCCCACCCGCCCTATCCCCACCCGTCCACTTCGTACACGCCCCATCCCCACATCCATATATTTTTAAAAACAAAATTATATACTTTTATACTATTTTATAAAAAAATTATGCAAAATAAAATAGTAAATATAATACTTTGTAATACACTTATATTATAAACAAAAAAATGTGTAATATTAACAATAATTTTTTTCTTTTTGCAATCTTTATTAATTATGAAGGATTGCGTATTTGGGAGGCGGGTCTTAGCTGGGGATTAGGTGGGGGTGGATATCTAAGTGGGGGGTGGGGCGGGGATGGTTTTGGAGCTGTACCCGTCGAGGCGGGGATGGGGATGAATTTTAGACCCGCCGCGGGGATGGAGATGGGCCGGGCCGGGTGAGTATGAAAATGGGGATGGGGATGAGAAGGCTAACATCCGCCCAGCCGTGCCCCATTGACATCCCTACTCCCAAGTAGTAAATGGTGGAATTTAAAATTGTGACTTTAAAATCAGAAGATGAGTTCATCACAATCTCTACCAAGCTAGCTTACTTTAGCTCCCCTACTATGTTGTGCGAGCACTATATTAGAGGTAGGACTTCGAAGAGAAATTGTATGACATAAAGATGGATGTAAAGGCCTGACAATTAATTGTTCGCTGTTAGCTGTTATTAGATGTTCAACTTGACAATTTTTTTTCACGTGTTTATTTTTTATTATTAAATGTTTATATTTTTTAAGTGTTCATATTTTTTAACTAAATGTTCATTTTATAGAGAGTGGTGCAGCTATCCTAGCTGCACAAGCGGGTGCAGCTAAGACTTATTGCCATCTTGTGCCCAAACTCGTTAAAAAAAATCGGGCTTTTTGGGTCAGGTTTGGGTTTTTAATTAAAAATGCGTTTTTAGGCTTACCCAAACCCGCCCTATTTTCGGGCAGGGTCGATATTGATCACCTCTACCTTACTCGTATTTGACAATTAGTCGTTGACTTTTGGATGTTTAACTTAATTTGCTAGTTGACTAGCTTTATGTATTGGTTGTTTGACTATTGGCTATAGAAATGTGTTTGGTGAAATCAAATATTGGTTGTTGGTGGTAGGAATATAAAATTACCAAAATTAATTATAAACGATATGATGACTTATTTGATTATTAATTATGAATAGTGAACTATCATTTATTAATTATGTAAAATGATTATTCTGATTACAAGTATTAATTATTCTTATTAGTTATTAATTAGAGGTAAATTGTAAAAGCTAGAAGCGAAAATTAAAAAGATAATACTTTTACCATTGTAGGGCTTATTTGGCATCATTTTTTGTTTTCAATTTTTTGTTTTTTTTTTTAAAACAAAAAACCAAAAACAGGAAACAAGAAAAAGGTGTTTCCACTCTTCTGTTGTCAGTTTTCAATATTATCATGATTTTATTATGTTTGACTGCTTTTTGATTTATTATATGACATATATCATATGACTTTAAAAAAAAAAAAAAAAAAAAAAAACCACAGTAATGCCAACAAACCTGTAGTTACTTGATTTTGGCTTAAAGGTCATTTAACATTGTAAAAGCAATAAAAAATATAAAAATAAATAAAAAAAAAAGAACGTTTCATTTAAAACTGTGTTGTTCCAGTAAGTTTTTTCCATTTTGGTTTAAAAGTCAATTTTCCAACCAACCAAAAAGTTATTTACGGAGTATCAAACATATTTTTTCAGCTATTTGACTACATAAAAAAAAAACCAAAAATCAACCAAAAAGTCATTTACCAAACATGTCTAAAATAGAAATATGAAATTAAATTGCTAAACCCTTGACACTCGGCCTTGAGCATTCAAAGTTTCAAATCAACACTTTGAGATGTATATGCGGGAGAAGCTGTTAGAGCAAGATTAACCCTAGGTATTAAGATTCTAGGTGACATCATCAATTTATGATTTTGTGGTCTTAAGATAAGACTTTATTTTTTTTATGCATTTATGTGGCTTGGTCTTAGCAAAATCTCAAGTGGAGTCTTGAAAATTCAAGACTCAACTTAAGACTCAACTTAACACTTCTACACTGTGTTTTTACCTTATACACATTAAAACACAGGGTGTTTCGATTAAAAAAAATTAATTAACTTTTATATTTTTTAAAAACATTAATTATTTGATTTATATAGAAAAAAAAATTGTAAATATACGGTTTTTTTTTTTTTTTTTTTTTTTTTTGGGAAACAAAGTGTATGCATCCAGCTGCAACAAGACTCACTAGTAAAACTTGAAGAGCACCCATACCCATCCTTGGATTTTGGACCTTCATTTTACTGTATTCATTTTCAATAACATAAAACATGTTACTACGTATAAACAGTTTTAATATATAATATAAAAAAATTAGTTTTAAAAAGTTATTTTGGGGTTCAGATCAATTTTACATTAGTCAACTTATTTTACATTACAACTTTCTAAATGCAATATGTGTTTCTTTTTTTTTAAAAAGGTTTTTTCATGTATTTTATAATCTTTTAATTTCATGTAATTCCATTATAATTTATTTTTATGCATCATTTTTTTTTTTTTTTTGTTGAGAACAATTTTTATGCATCATCTATATTGCATAATGTGAATTTTAATATTAAAATATAATATGTTAAAAGGAAAAAAAAAATTGAATATTTTAAAGAAATCTAAAATAAGTCTTAGGGATGAAGAGATAAATCTGATTGAGTTTTAAGGAGTCTTAACAAAATTTTAAATTAAAAAAAATAATTAAATTTAAGCTAATAAATAATGTGGCAATAGATTTAAGTCTTAAGACAAGGCTGTGTTAATCTTGCTCTTATGCTTGAAAAGTGAAGACTGCTATCTATTCAACAGCTTATCTCCACAATTATGTGGTAATCAAAATCTGATGCGATAGCACTGCACTTAACCAACTCAACTAACTTAAATAATATATTTGCACATAAGCATGCTACCACTTCAAATATAGTCCATCAACTTTGGATTACATAACAACTAAACATATTGCATACAAATATACTCCATTATGTAATCAAATTAAAAGCATAGATCTTATCTTATTCTAGCTTTAAAAATAATTAAAATAAAAAAACAATTTCTTTCACATCAATAAAATTTTCTTTTTAAATTTGTTGTCGAGGAATTGGATTCCAACAAGCGTATTCCTATACTGACTTAAAAGAAATAAGAATTTTGAAATGATGCCAATTGCATCACCCAAAGTATTTGAGCTAACTTATAGAAATAAATACTCTCTCCCTCATCAAATTTAGTCACATTTCTCCTTAGACGCTTAGACATATGTTCTCTTTGTAAAGGTATTGTAGTTAAAAATTACTGATTGAAACTAAATAAAATTAGGTCTTGGGAGTGAGTTTATTATATTTCTAAGGAGAAGTGAAAAAAACTTGGAGATTGATTTACAATAGATTCACCCAAATGAGAATTGAAACTTTTGCCAGAAACGACATACAATTGGAAAGAAATGAGAATTTTACTTAGATACGAAGAGAGTAAAATACTCGTAATATTTTATGTAGGCCTCATTATCAAGAAATCTAATTAAATAAAAAGATTTTATTTTATTTTATTTTTATTTTTTTGGTTTTTTTGACATAATGAGCTTAAGAGAGATGTGCTATATACCTGTGTATATGTTGTAGACATTGTATGACATTATAATCTTTAATAAAGCATGCATCTCTTGGATTTGAAAGGTGGCTATAAAAGTGACGTTGACATTCGTTGTATTGGAGATTAACAGCATTCGACTTGTTATTGGTCACGATGTATTATTTTAATTAGATTTCTTTGAAATAATATGCCATTGATATTCTTATTTGGAATTGAGACAAATCTTTACGAAAAGAAAATTCATATTGAAGTTTCATTTATCATCCTGTTATACTATTACTTTGTTAGAATCTCATATGCATAACTTTGATTTTATGCGATATTTATAAGATTAGTTTGCGGAGTATTAGTATATATGTAGATCATAATACTTGTATATGCATTACTATTGAGAGAAATAATATAATATATTCTGATTCAATCTGATATTAAAATAAGGAATTGTAACTTACATGAGCATTTAATTAACTAGTATCATTTCATTTATCATGGAGAAAATTATAGATTAATTTGGTCAAAGATTGAGTTAGGCCTCAAAATTCAAAAGAGGACCCAACGAAAAGGTTGTTAACTTGTTACCATATACCACTGTAGTGAATTCCTTGCACAGTTACATGGTACGGTTCACATTATTGTAGTGATTACAAAACATAATAAAACCGAAAATAGAAAAACAAAAAATGAAGGCGAATTACATTCGCGTGGTGGTGTTACATCATATTATTGTTCCTGCAACTGTTATGCTACCAGCACGGTTTTTGCTATTTCAGGAAAGAATGCATTTGAAAATCATCATGGTTCCATGAAGTTAATGAATAATAATAATGATGGTTTCATAAATATAATTATTATCTTTATTTAGTGTGGTCTTATCCCTCCCTAATAGGGGTGGCAATTCAAGTCAATGGGTCAGATTCGGGTTAGATTTAGGTCAATTTCAGATTGTGCTAAAAAACTATCAAAATAGTGTAAAACTTATTA